GTCACATTCTAAAATTTTATATTAATTTGGTTAAGCTTATTGGAAAATAAATAAACTGAATTTGTATATTAAATAGAACATGAACTTTGTGAAAACACTTTTAATGTGTGATGAGAACTTTTTAAATATTTTTCAAAAATGTGTGTGGTGATGGAAATGACAGTGGTGGAAATGACATTTAAAAATTTTATTGTGAAAAAATGAAAATAAGCTTCACCGATTAGCTTTGAATCGATACTAGCCTTTTCTGTATACAAAACACTTTTATTTACCTTAGTTTTTGTTTGGTTTTTAAAAACATCTTTGAAGGTACAACATGTTTGGAAATGACGTAGAATAAATGTATTTCCTTATCAAGCGGTGTTGATAAAAATTTAAATTCCCTCCATCTTGAACATGTGCTCAGATGCCACTATTTATTTTCATAGAAACCTGCTAAATAATCTTTCACACAAACCTTTTAAAGCGACATTACAGTGTTGTGGTGGAAATGACACTGATTCTGTGCAACAGCTATTTTTTGTATAAAAAATAATATTGATAATAGTCTCACATTAATAACTATAAAATATTAAAATGATTTACCAATGCTTAATTAAGATATATTAAAAGTTACCAGATAAATAATATTTTAAAAGATTATTTTCATTGTTGACATTTAAAACTCTTCGTGTGCGTCAAGACGAAAACAGTGATTTTGACACCTAAAAGAAGGTTGAATAATATGAAAAAATACATAATAGAAATGTAATAACAAAATTTTAATTAGGTTTTATTGTTTGACAAAGAAAGAGGATTTTGAACAAAATGATATATATTTTTGGATATAAGATCAAAGGACATAAAAGTGCCCATTGTTGAATTACCCTTATATACTGTGGTAATTTATCAACTACAGTTTTAAAAATAAAAACTGAGGTATGTTGTTTTCTCCTTCACTGTAATGAGGTCCATTCTGTCTTTTTACATAAATTACAGTAATGTTGTTAGGTTATTTTGCAAAGCAACGTTGTTTGGCTACTTTTTGATTATGAATGGGCAGCAATATTGTATCTGTAATTCATTGCTCTAATTACTTGCACTGTTTCTTACTTGGTTGCCCATTTATGGCATAATTTCCCAAAGCTCAAAACGTTGACCTTTAAATCATCAGCAAAAGTACCATCTAAAATTTTCTTCTAAAATTATTTTCCTCAGGCTATTGTGTGTAGCTTTAGTAATTTAAATTATATAGAATATGTTTTTTCATTGTCTTTAAAGTAAAATAACTGAGCATAAACAAAGCAGGCTGAAAAAGTTCCCATTTTAGAAGCATTTTGGATGGCATTTAGATGTTTTTGAATATCCATATTGCAGTAAGGTGCGAGATGAAATGCATTATTAAGTTGTTTATCCAAGTCTGATCAATCAAATGGGCCTTGCTATCTTTATACCTTCCTCCCTAGTAGGTGCTATTATGCTGTTGGCTAAGTAAACCTAGTGCCAGTTAAAAGTAAATACTAATGGCAGGAGTATAGGCGAAAGCAAAATGACAGCAGCCAAAAAGAATCAGAATATATGGCAAGGTTTCTAGTCATTTGTACTGTTTTGAAATGTAAATATTTTATGTTTTATAAAATTTAAATATTTAGTAAATATTACTAAATATTTAGTTTATGTAACTATTTTTGTAAGATCATTAAATAAATAAATAATTTAATTTAATTATATATACTCTAGGCAAATGTTTGCAAGAAATATTGTTATATTCAGTACTCAATATCATTGCATTAATCATATTTAGATCAGTCGATCCATTCCAGATCCTGAAAAAAAAACAGGAATCAAGCAAAAGTTACCCACAGCTTTGCTAAAACTTTATTGCTGTCAATTACTAAATATTTTAACACTGTCAGCAAAAAAAAAAAATGTGTGCGTTCACCCTATCAGATGCCTGAATCTGCAGGGGACGTGTGGTGCTTGATAGCTTTGTCAGGTGTGAAAGAGAGTCCTGCCTCATAGATGCAACGTGTGAAAGACAATTAACATGCGGCTCTGATGGAGGAGGAGGAGGGGTAAATCTGCAGATACTTCCTTACTCTGATGTGGTCAAGTCAAACACATGATTTAAAAAGCTCAGGGTGCTAAATACGGTGTTTATCCTAATTTTCTAGTGGAAAAACAAGTGGAGAAGTCTCAAAATTAGTCTTTGCTACGAAAAAAAAATGTGGCATTTATTTAGTATGAACACATTTTTTGGGCCGGTCCTCAATGCTGGCATGCTCACCCCAAATAGATTCACCATAGTAACAACATTCAGTAATAAGATCCATGAAAATTGAATTAGCCTCACATCCGCAGTAAATACAAGCGAATGTTTGTGTTGATGTTTGCCAGCCATGTGACTGTTACAGTCCCACACAGCATGTGTCCTCAGTATTAGGTGAAAGCTGTTTTTGTAGGACAGTTTTGTGTGGAGTTAATTGGTAACTGTGACAAATCTGAGGGAAAAAAGTGAGAGTACTTTTTAGAACAATACTGATTTGAATTGAAAAGCTCCTAAAAGTTGACCTAAGGAGATCAGAACTGTGTGGTTTAGTTTTATGCCAGCAGAAGATTGTTTTGAGAGTGTTTTTGTGTGTTTAAGGCTGGTTAAAGACAGCTGCTGGCGTCTGTCAGATGCTTCCTCTTCACTTTCATCTTCTCTTGCTGTTATGTTTTCATGCTCTATCACAGGGGGTCCTGTCATTTTTGAGGAAAGAGCCAGAAGTGCAAGAGCTGAGGTGGGACGTGTTATCAGAGCCACTAGAGGAGGGCTGTACAAATGTTTGATTGGAGAGTGTTTGGTGCTTTTTGCTCACCATGAGATATCATTCTTTACTCGTCTCAGATTATGTGAACCCAAAATCCAGTCAAATAGAAGACAAACAGACAGAGTTGATGGAATTAAGTTGCTATATGCTCAAGGCAGACTGAAAGGTGGAAAGTTCTTAAGAGGTCTTCAAGTTTAAAGGTTTCATAGGCTTTGGAATCAATACATATATAAATGTGTTTATTAGGTCTGCACAGATAATGAACTGGAATAAAATAACATTTAATTGATCAGAATTCAGTTAATTTTTTTGATCTTATTCTAAATCAAATTCCAGTTCATTGTCCTGTAAATTTTTTCCTGGGTCACATACTGTATATAATCCCCTTACTTTTATCATTAATGTATTGCTAAACAATCACAAGAAAGGTGCACATCATTTTTGACCAAATTACTCTTTCTAATTGTGTCTTTTTTAATGTTTTTCAAGGAATTTCATGAGAAACTTGTAAGACTTCAGTCGACATGTCAGTGAATTATAACTGAGAACACCATTAAGTCTCCCAAAGTATGACAGAGCAATGTATTTGTCTTTTGGGAACACACAGCACACTGAATAAATACGACAGAGGACAGAAATCATGGTTTCTCCAACTCAAGGCTCATTGATTTCTCTGTCTGTGCGCTCATCTCTAGAGTTGGAGCAGTGTTTTAGACAATGACTGTCTAGCGCTGAAGGGTACAGATGTTCTGAGGGTCCACAGGCTTGCTGAATTGGTGGTTAAATGAGGCACAGCATGCTGTGTGGAGTCACACTCCTCCGCTAGCACAGAAACATAAACCTCAGCCTTATTAACGCGACAGCACTGTGCTAAGTAGCAGTGTTTTTACCCTCGCTGCCTGCCAGCTGGACCCACAATTACTTTAAAAAAGAAACTCTTTCACATTTTTAAAAGAAAGCAGATAATACAGTACACCTGTCTTTTCTATTTCTTTTATTATTATTATTATTTATAGTACCTGCCATCAGGTCAATTTTAAAAAGCATTTCAAGGAAGAATCCATTTAGTAAACAGGCAGAACCTGTTAGCTGTGTATAATTGACATAGTTTCATAGGTAATTGAGATCAAACACCTTTTACCCACAATCCCATTGTAATTTTCTCTGGCAAGGCTTATCACATTTCGAGAGTTAACAGGAGAGGAAAAAAAAAACATAACAAGAAAAGACCAAACTCATTATGTAGAGGTGGCAGAACAGACGGACCTTTAACACACACTGTGTTGTGTGTCTGCTCCATCTGCTGTGTTTACAGTAATGCAAAGACCTTTTAATGCCTGTTTGCGAGGTACTTTTATGGACGGGCTGCCTTCAAAGTGGGCTTGCACTATAATGTCAGGATCGATGGATGGTTATATAGATAGATGGATAGATGCATGGATAGATAGATAGACAGATAGATAGATAGACAGATAGATAGATAGATAGATAGATAGATAGATAGATAGATAGATAGATAGATAGATAGATAGATGGATGGATGGATGGATGGATGGATGGATGGATGGATGGATGGATGGATGGATGGATGGATGGATGGATGGATGGATGGATGGATGGATGGATGGATAGATAGATAGATAGATAGATAGATAGATAGATAGATAGATAGATAGATAGATAGATATTGTGTCCATTCCCATATATATGAATGGATGGATGAATATTTAGATGGATGGGTGGATATGTAGATGGATAAATATATAGATGGATGGATGGATGGATATATTTATTGATTGATTGATTGATTGATTGATGGATGGATGGATGGATGGATGGATGGATGGATGGATGGATGGATGGATGGATGGATGGATGGGTGGGTGGGTGTATATATAGATTTTTTCATGTTCATGTTCAGCATTGTTCTGCTGCTTAGTGAGGGGAAGAGAGTGTTTTTTTATTGTGTGCCCTTAGCTGTGACATAGATGAACTTGAATTGGTTCTACTGCACCTTTACTGTCAGTAAAGGAAATGTGTCCAGAGTTAGTCATTTTTAATTACCGCCGTATCGCCGTAGTATACTACTCACCTCTATCACCATAGTATGCTACCGTGACCAATAACAAATTGTTATTCTCAATGCACTGTTGAAACTATTAACTTTGACACTCCTAATAAACATGCCTTGTTTGTTCTGTTCTAAAGATATGACTTCATCGAGATCCGGGATGGAAACTCGGATGGCGCCGACCTTTTGGGAAGACACTGCAGTAACATCGCGCCCCCTGCGATCATATCCTCAGGCCCAGTTTTGCACATCAAGTTCGTCTCAGACTACGCCCACCAGGGGGCAGGGTTTTCGCTGCGCTATGAAATCTATAAGACAGGTAAGCACGCGTTACTCAGCATGATGTACTGCATCATTAACAATGTGGTGCCAAAGCTTCGCCTGCTGTTTACACATCTCTCCTGTGTGCTTTAAGCAAGAGCCCTGTGTTCTTGCTCTTGTACTAACACAGCGTTTACAGCGTGGGGAGAGTTCATGTGGGTCCAGCGAGCCTGTTAGGAAAGCTTGATTTCTCTTAACACAGATCACAAATTCACCTCTTCGCACAGGAAACACGTACTTCACCTTTTCCTTTGTTTACCCACTCATTCTTGAATCATAGACTGCGATGTGTTAAATCCCACCTGCCTGAGAAGTGTTGATTGGCTTTTGTCAATCGGAGGGAAAAGTCCCTATTGGTCAGTGTGGTGTCACTGGCAAACCACCGCTTTTATTACTTGCTGGAAAGGTGTAGATTTGCTTTTGGAAACTGGAGAGAAAGGCTCTCATTGGTGAGTGCAGGGGCTGGAAGACAGGGGTTGCCATTTATGACAAGTTCCAAATGGGGTTTATGGCTTGGAGGGAAAGACTGTTATTGGTTCAAATACTGTAGGTCTCTATAATCTCTTTTTTTTCTAGTGGGATTTGGTCGCTGTTTGTCTCTAGCTGGGATTTGCACCACTAATAATGGAAGTCCGAATTGCTTTCAAACTCAAATTTGAACTGAGGTAGGAAACAGGGTACTGGATTGTAATATGAATGTAAAAGTTAAGGCATAAATGAAAACAAACTGGACTTTACAACATAAAATAAGTATAAAAGGTTTTTACAAATCCTTTGGTTGAGTTTTAATGTAAAGATAGTTCAGCTGTAGATAGGTTGGATGTAAAATCTTATAATGATGTTTAATTTTTATCATATTTAATAAATGAGCTAGGAAGAAATTTAATTTTAATTTATTCATTTATTGTTTTAAATTAATTAATTTATTTCTATTGTATTTACTGTATTTTATGTATTTAATTATTTTTTAGTTATTTATTTTATTGTATTTATTTAATTTTTTTAATTTATTTACGTATTTATTTTTTATTATTTATGAATTTATATTGTTTTATTGAATTTTTTTACTTAATTTTTTTATCTATGTATTAATTTTTATATTTATTTTTGTGTATGATTTTTATTTGTGTTTTATTTATTTATTTATTTATTTATATTGTATTTATTTATTTTATTTGCTTATTTATTTACGTATTTTTAATATTTATGGTGTTGTTTTTATTATATTTATATTATATTATATTTTATTGCATTTTATTTATTTGTATTATTTATTCATGTATTTTATTTTATGTATTTTATTATATTTTTATTTTCATTTAATTAATTAATTAATTAGTTTATTTATTATTTATTTATTTTCATTGTATTTACTGTATTTTATTTATATTTTATTGTATTGTATTGTATTTAATTATTTATATATTTATTATTATTATTATTTATTAATTTGTTTTATTGTATTTTATTTTTATTTTTTATTAATGTATTTATTTAATTTTTATTGTATTTATTTACATATTTATTTGTTAATTTATTAATTTATTTATGTATTTTTATTCATGGATTTATTTTTATTGTATCTTATTTATTTATTTTAATTCATGTATTTTATTTTATTTTATTTTATTTTATTTTATTTTATTTTATTTTATTTTATTTTATTTTATTTTATTTTATTTTATTTTATTTGTTGTAACCATTTAAAAATCACAATCAGTAATTAAAAGGAAGCCAGTATTCAAGTTTGAAATTCAGGTTGCTTTTCCATTATTGGACGTTATTGTGCATCTGGCCAAAAAGCGTAAAATATTTTATTCTGTTGTCAGTATTCATTTGTTCTGTTTTAATAAGCATATGTTATTGCTTCCAAAAAAACACCCCGCCGTTTTGCATTTTGTCATTGTACAGTATGTGTGAAAGCCCTCTGTGTGACCATCTGACCTCTAGTGCCTTCAAACACGATGTGCGATTTCTGTCTCCTTCATGGAGCCTGGTCGACATGCAACAGCGCAAATTCAGATCAAGGCGGCTGCTGGCGGGCAAAATAAACAGCATGGAGACATCACTAGTTCCTTTTTCACCCTTCTGAAAGCATTCCGGGAATGCCTCTTTAATTGACTCCTGATCTACCCTCCCTTGAGGCCGGTGTTTGGAGGGGGCAGGGCAGCTGGGGTTACTAACACAACATGTGTGATAGCCTTTCCTCTTAGCTCCCTTCTGTAGTGTCCTGGGATAGCCATGCAGACCAGCTGTCATGAAGCTCGAGATGCACATTGGTCGGAAATGATCAGTTAGCAGTGTGCAGGGGTGTAAAATACTTGAGTAATTCTACTTGATTACTGTACTTAAGTATTATTTTGGGGGATTTGTACTTTACATTTCAAGCTGACTACTTGTGCTTTTACATGAGCAGATTTCTGAATAATTAACTGCAGTTTTCATATTTAAAGTTTAATTTAAATTACACTGTAAAAAATGCAGGGTTCCACACAATTCATTATTGTTTTCACAACACAAATTGGTTAGGGTAACAAATTTAAGTGGATTGAACATAAAACAATCAATAATTGTGTTGTTTCAGCTTAGTTTAAATAAGTAGTTTGAATAAGCAAGAAGCAACGCAGTGGCACAGTATGTAGTGCTGTCGCCTCACAGCAAGAAGGTCACTGAGTCGCTGGTTCAAACCTTGGCTCGGCTTGGCTCAGTTGACCTGTGTGGAGTTTGCATGTTCTCCCTGCGTTCACGTGATTTCCTCCGCGTGCTCCGGTTTCACCTACAGTCCAAAGACATGTGGTACAGGTGAATTAGGTAGGCTAAATTGTCCAGAGTGTATGAGTGTGTGTATGAATGAGTGTGTGGATGTTTCCCAGAGATGGGTTGTGGCTGGAAGGGCATCCGCTGCATAAAAACGTACTGGATAAGTTGGTGGTTAATTCCGCTGTGGCGACCCCGGATTAATAAAAGGAAAAAGCCTACAAGAAAATAAATGAATGAATGAACAACCAAGAAAAAAAAAAAAAAATTTAACTGAGTACTGTAAAACCCAATAAGTTAAGGTAACTCAAACTGTTTAAGGAAACCGATTGCAACAAACCATTTACATGTAAGTTCAAAAACTAATCCTAATGAGTACTGTGAACTTAATCCATTTGAGTAAGTGAAGCAATTTGAGCACAATAAAATTCGATAAATAAAGAGAACTCAAACCAACTGAGTACTGTAAAACCCGATAAGTAAAGGCAACTCAAACCTTTTGAGGAAACCGATTGCTACAAATCATTTGAGTTAAAAAATTTCCATTTAAGTTGAAGTAATGAGGTATTTAATTAACTCATTACATTCAACGCTGAGTTCAAAACTCTTTTCAGATGAGTAGAATTAGCTTTCAGTAAATTTTGAGTTAGCTACACTCACTTCATTTGATAAAGTTGACTTTTGGGTTTTACAGTGTATGTATAGTTTAAGTTTTACATAACTGTGCATCATAAATCAGAGAAACTAAGCATTTTCAAGTGGTCTCTTAATTTTGTCAGTAGCTGTGCATGTCCATTACTTGTCTGTTAAGTATATTGGCAGAATGCACAAGATTGAGTGTAAAGGAAATCCTGTCATGACAATTTGATTTAGCCTATAGTTAATATTTTACCACCAAAAAAATGCTATTAATAATTGATTGCTTTAATAATAGATGTTTTTATGAAATGTTGGAAAAAAAGCAACAATCCATTTTAAATCAAATTTAGATTGTGCTTAGTGATCGTACAAGGAGTGAATAAATGTTAAATGTATAATCTTATTATATATTGACTACTATATGCAACACAGGCTCATTGTGGATATGTATCCCTGTCTACATTTCTGGAGAGTGTGAATTATGTAGCCAGAGGTACGTCTGGCTGCATTTTGTCTTTAAAATTAAACGCTACTTCCAGCAGATGGCTTCTGTTCCTTTTAGCGCCAAAGCTAACGGCGCACCTCCATGTGCACGGCTTTTCCAGTGTTATCAGTTTGCTGAGTAGCTAGCACACGTCAGCAGACTTTGGACGTGAAACAGAGTTGACTGTGATGACTGAGTTCAAGTTCAGCTAAGAACGTTTCCAAAAACTAAAGAAGCTTTTGAAAACACTAATGGGTTGGTTTTAGGGAAGGTGGGTAGGTTTTGCACAGTCAGCAGCAACCTGGCCTGGTTGGCTGAAGTGTATATAGCGCCCTCTAGTGGAATTTTGTGAGTAAAGGACAAGCAAAAGAAATTATGAGGTCATGCAAGAAGACATAAATCCGGTTACTTATTTCGCTGTTCCCAGAAATGTAAACCTGGCTATGTATCTCCAGTAAGCCTGGGTTTATTATATACTGACAATAAAAATAAAAGAATATCAAATCAAGGGCTTCATATTTTTTGTTTTTCACATTTGAAAGATGTTTTTAACCAGAGAAGTGTTTATCTGTGTGACAAATTAATTTGTAATTAATTAATTTATTTTTTTAGAACAGTTCAGTATTATTATTATTATTATTATTATTTTTTTTTTGTGAGACTGCTTGGGCAAATACAATTGAACTTTATTTTACTTTATTTTACCCAAATATTAAAATACTGTCTTTATTTACTCATCTTTAGCTTTTCAAATTTCATTCTTAAAGTGAACAGAAAAGAAGATATTTGGAAAAATGCTGGTACCCATTGACTTTCATGTTATTTATTTCCTACTATGGAAGTCAATGAGTGCCAGCAACCAAACTTCCAAACTTTGAACAGTCTTCAAAGTGTCTTCTGTCGTGTTCAACATAAGAAAGAAACTCATAAAGGTTTAAAACCACTCCAGGGTGAGTAAATAATGAATAAATAACGAAAAATAATGTTAGTTTTTTAGTCATCTATGCCTTACAGTATATTTTCAACCAGATATTTGTACTTTTAACTGAGTAAAATAATCTCTGTATTTGTAATTTTACTTGAGTATCATTTTTTATGCTTCTTACACCCTTAGCAGT